CCCTACACAATCCCCCTGATTCTTTTTGGTTAACAAAGGCAGAAGCTGAAAATGTTGTAGCTGTTTCAAACACAATAAGCCTCTAATAAGTTTTGATGGCTATCTAGACTATATTACTTAAGACTTTATTTGAATTATGTTTTTTTCCTAAAGAAATAAATAAAAAAAAACCCAAACAAGTCTTTACATAGTCATAAACTCAACTTGATAATATATGGCAATTATATTGCATTTAGGATTCAGAGGGGACCTACCAACTCAGCTGCTTTTACTCTGATGGACTATTTTTGCATAACTGAACAAAATTGCTTCACAGCCATTATCAAAGCCATTACTGAATTAAAAGTCAAAACAAGATATTCTTTTGGATCACTCATCCCATCTACAGATTTACAAACTAAAAACTTTCAAGCATAATTCAGGTTACATACTATTGTTGAAGTTTTCAAAGAAGTCATATATAAATTAGAAATAGGTAAGAATTTGTTTAAACGACCGAAGTTAATCTGTAAGTTAATTTAAAAATATCTTTCAAAAATATCTCTATAAATCAGACTTATTGAAGGTTTTTCTTCTCTGGGTTCTGACAGAAAAGGGTACACCAATCTCTGTGTCCAAAGGATAAGAAAAGAAAGCATTAAAAATCTGAATTTGGGTCTCTTCTCATACTGTGCTTAACACTCAGCTCATGAGAAACAGTCCATTTTTGTCATCACTTTAAAGGAAATTTAGTCTTTTGAGATCATATCTGTTCTCAAAGAAGGTCCCACTGAGAAGATTTGCCACAGCATCTTGAGTGAAGTAGCCTGTCATGATCTGAAGCAGAAGTCATTATTTTCAGAGATGTGTTACCTCCTGATAAGACCTTCTTTGCTTTTGCCTTGTTAGCAAAATACATTATCATATCACATCAGCATAGGAATTCTGGAAGACTTTGGATAAAAAGGCCACTCTTCATGCTTTCAAGTCTAAAAAACCTACATAAACACATGGCTTCTTTGTAAATTACTCTGTTTAACAGTGAAATCTGCATGCACAATCATATCAAGAACTAACAACATAAAGTAGCATTTTTCAATGCTGACAGTGTTTTGTGGATAGTCATTTGCAGTGCCAGACTTGGTAGGAGGAAAGGGGAGCAGCAGACAGGTAAGGGCTGGAGTATGAACTGTATAATCAACTTAAAAGAAGGGACAAAGCCATTTCAGGACATGTATCACAACAGTGAAATTCTAGAACTGTGCAAAATCTGCTGCTTCTTTCAGTTTATGAAAGAAATAACTATAACTAGCTGTGCCATGCTGTGGAGTAAAGATCTTGGCAATCCAATTACTGCTGGAGTGACAGTTGGACAGAGTTACCAACATCCATTTTCCCCCTCTTCAGAAATGTTGATTTGTCTGTCAGGAAGTCATCACATTAAAAGGCACACAAATTCCAATGTGAAATGAGTAATAGCAAGATTCATACTTGTTTCTAGTGTATTTTACTTCACAAGGTAGTGAAACTCAAGGAAAACCACTTTCCACTAATAAAGACCTTACAGTATCACTGAAATGTTGGGTTTTTTTTTTGGTACAGGTACATGACTGAAATGAAAGCCAAAAAAAATCAGAACTTACCTTGTGTCACTGTTTTAAGCACAATTAAAGTTGACAGGAACCTCAAAGGCATACAGGAACTCTTAAAGAAAGCTGCTGATTTTGATTTACTCTCTGTAGACCTCTCAGAAGAACCATGTGGGTTGCCCTTACTTCCTATGCCTTTGAAAATATCTTCTCCCAGTCTCCTCATGGTTGATGCTATTGTTGCATGCTGTTCCAAACAATGTGCCCAGTTAGCAGAAACATTAAACCACATTAAAATCCTGTGTACTACACAGAGATACCTACATTTCCCCAAGCAATTAAATATTAAATAGCCAATGGTTTGACCAGGCATCAGCATAATGATCTGTATAGGAGATACAGATCTGTACAGGAGATCTTCTGTGTTCCAAAAGCAGCTGAAGAATATTATCACAGTGCCTTATCAACAAGTACTTCACTAAAAGACCAGCTGCTGAGGGCCCCTGATACACTGACATTATGTAATGTCACAATACACTCATTTAAAATATAGTTTCCTACTGGCACTAAAAACAACAGCTTACTATTCTACTGAATTTAAATTCAAGATTTTTACAACATTTCCCACCTTTCACTTTATCAAAAGCACTAATGACAGCACCATGCACTCTACTGAGTCTTTATGGTATGGCTACTGTCTTTATTACACTGCAAAATATTTTCTGATAGCAGTCTAGTCAAAAGGAGTAAGGAATGTCTTGTGGTTAGACACAGAAACATCAAAATTGCTTTGCTGCTTTGAGAAATACTTCCACCAATTTCAACAAACCTCATGCATAAAGTGGACCTAAAAAATACTGCCTTTTCTAGTCTAAAAGTTCTGTAAGTACATATGTAAATACTATAATTACTGGTATACTTGGACACCACAATAGAAATAACATGCTTATGAAAACCATGTTTAGATACACAATGCAAAATATAAAATTAATTTTAAAAAAATAAATTTCACAGTGTTTATTATCTTCAATAAACATTATGTATTTCTGCTCTGCAAAGACATAGTTTCTTTTATATGTGCTACCTGAAAACATCCAGTTTTCATATATATTTAAAATACAAAATTCATTAATATCTTCTGTGAATTTAGTTTAAAAAAAAACACTGAGTGAAAGAGGACTACTTGTTTTACCTGAATACCAGTGTCTAGCTGTCTTATTGACCAGTATATAAATTTAACCACAGGCACGTGTAGTTTAGGATTCACAAAAGGCATCCACTGGAGTTGCTCAGCAACTATAGGCAAAAGCTGTAAAAATATACAAATATACATACATGTAGTATGATGAAACTTCTGTGTAAGCTATAAGTGAAAACCAAACAAAAAAAAACCCCTCTGAACTTTCTCTTGGAATTTAATGGATTACCAAAGCAAATACTCACTGGGCAGATCCACTACAGGTACCAGAATTATACACATGCACAGATTTTAACACACAAAAGTTCAGATATATCAGGTGAGCTCAGTCTCAGTAAATCCAATCCCAATGGCTTCAAATATTTAATATGGTGAAGAAAAACAGTAAAAGAAGATTTTATGAACATCTCACTCATTTCCAAACCTTTGTATCCCCAGAAATCAAACAATACAAGTGTTAGAAGTATAGCATAGTATCACCTTTTGTCAGTCATAAAGTGAAACATTAATATATAATACAGGCATCAAAATATTTTCTATTAGACATGTTCATCTCCTTAGAAAAAAGGAATTCTGCACAGCATTACACATAAAATACAAGAATTATCACTTGGCAGAAGTAGCTTGAAATAAAATGCTGAAACTCAGGTTGAGTCTTAACTCCACATTTTTCCTTAGACATTCTCTATATGCTTTAAATATGAAAAATTATGCTATATCTAACTGCTGGAATGAATACTGACTTATTAACTGCAACCTTAATTACTGTATCCAAAGCATGTCTAAAACAGGCTGACCTGTTATACTCTCAAAATCATTAAATAAAAACCCATAAGCCTAAAAAAAACATATTAACACAAGCAAACATTCCAAATCCCTTTACCTTCATACACCTTTCCTGGGTGCAGGTTTTTTTGGAGGTCTGGGTAACCAGAAGTTTATGACTGTCCTCTCTCTCTTCTGGTATTTTTATTTTGCTAAGGTGCTGGTCTGAGATCCAATCCATAAGATAAGTTAGGAGCTCATAAACTTGTGAATTCAAGGGTAGCTGTAATACATCCACAACACCAGATATTTCAGCTGTCACATTCATGATTTTTCTAAGCTAAAATAATAACAGACTGAACTATATGAGAGCACATTAGTTCTGAAATATTATGCATAATTAAAAGGATGATGAGTATATGCCTGATAAAATCTGGGAGGTAAGTTAGTGGGAGCCTGTGGAAACATTTTATACAAGGAAACAGTGGTCCTGAACAGGCCATGTGTACTCTGCTGGGCTTTGTACCCAGAGTTTGAGAAGCCTGTGTGTTATTATTAGAACCTATAACTTAAAATATCTCCAGGAAAGGCAAACTGAGCTCACTGCAACCAGCTCCCTGCAACAGGAGCCTGCAGGCAGCTCCCACTTGGTACCAGGGATCACACCTCCTGCCTGGCCTTGCCTTTATCTGAGAGCATCAAGAAGTTCTCCTGTGAACCTCCTTCATGAATAGAGCTGTTTTCTTGCAAGGAAGTTCTATACCAGCTTGAGTGGCCAAAAAGGAGGAGATTCTCTCCACAGACAGCACCTGCTCAGCCTGCCCTGGGGAAAATCCACCCAGGCTCTACCTGAGGTTGCACAAACACCAAGTCCCCACCACCTGAAGGAACATTACATTTACTTGCTCTCTCTACTCCTCCTCTCACTCTGCCTTATCAAAACCACTGCTTCATTAAGCCATTTTTTGTCAGGCCTTTCTCACAGAGATCCAGAAAGAACTGCATTGTTTCTCCCCCTCCCCACTGCTGGGCAGGTACCACTTCTGATGGTTTCTGAGTGAGAAAAAATATGCACACCATTTATTCTGTACTTAGACAAATGGTGATAAAAGGCCTGGCAAATTATTTTTACATACAGAATCACTCCATTTTATAATTCTGGCTAAATGAATTACAGGAGAATGCAAATTGTTAATGCTCTTTGCATGTGGAAATTCTTATTCCAATGCAACAGACCTCCTTTGCTTTATCTCATAAAACCCACTGGTGTTAAAATTTAACTGGGTAACTAGTATTGTTAGAAAGAGAACAAAGACTTCATGAAATTGTCATTCTGTCCCTGCACAACACTGCAATGAAACACTCTACAAATGATATCCAGAGGTAGCTGAACACAGGCTGCACAGTTCTCTGAAGACTTCAATAGTTTTCTTGTATCTACCTTCAGATAACTGTTTCCCTCTTCACTCAAAACTACAACTAGTGACACTGTTTATATTTCACTTGCAACCCAAGTACACTAAACCCTATGTAAACAGAGAAATATGTTGGCTATATGTAGGCAGCACAGTTTTAAGGCATCTGATGTAGATTAATTAAGTTGGATGGTGTGAATATCTCTCCCATTTCACAGTTTAGCCTCTCACTGGAGAAAAACAGCATTGGGAGATGTTGGTAGAGCACTACCAGAGGACTTGCTACTAAATGGAATAACACAGAGACAGAAAGCATTTAATTAAGTGATGTAAGAAGATATGTTAAGGAAAACAAGGGGAGTATTTTGCAATTGTGCATGAACACTGCATTTATTCTCTTTCTCTCATTAAAAAGCATTTCTTAAAAAAAAAAAGATTAAATCACTTTTGGCTTAGAAAATGAAAATTCTTTTCCTGTTACTTCTGACTGACTACTTTTTAGCTGGTGTTATTCATAAGAACAATGCCATACTTCAGCAGTAACCAGAATGAGTTTAAGATTTGCTCTGATGCAGCAAAAGAAACCAGTTACAGTGTAAGCAGGTTATAATTTTAACTGACAGATACAAGATTATGAGACAGGAAGATGAAAACTTGCCATATAAATAAAGACATACTAGCTACATACACAATAGGAAATAAAACAGACTGATTTTTAGCTGCAATTCCTTGTTAACTGTCAGTTTTCCCCCAATATAAACTGTATCCTCTCTTATTGTTACTAATTCACACATAAAGTAAAATTGGAAATGACATTTTCTCATTTCTAGCTGACACACAGAGAACATTCCACTGCCTAATGTTTTTTTCAATCAATCTTTCATTTTGCCCAATTCTTACCTTAGCAATTTTTGGTGTTACCATCACTTTTTCCTGCTTGACAGGTTTACACTGTTGCACTACTTGATGCCTATCCTTAGACTTCTGTATCATTAAAAATTCATGCTTCCTCTGCAACAAAATGTAACAGTGAATTATATTTCACTTGTTACCTATAAAAGAAGCAGGCACATGTAAGAACAAACCTTACTTGTAGGTTCTCTAAACGAGCTTGTACTTTTCTTGCTTGACCTTCCAACTTCTTGTTCAGCTCAGTTACGTCACTTAACTGAAAGAATCAGAAAATATTAAAGTATCTGTAAATTCAAAATTTACTTCTTGACTTAGCTATCACAGTGAAATAGTTTCATGTGCTTGCTGAGTGGCTAAGTTATTTAAGTTCAACTTTTTTTCTTCTGAGCATGTAAAGTCAAAAATCACCATCCAAAAATCATCATCCAAAATCATCATCTACCTACTTCCTCAACAAATCACAAAATCACAGACTGGCTGAGGTTGGAAGGAACCTCTGGAGGTCACCTGGTCCAACCCCCCAGCTCAAGCAGGGCCACCAAGAGCTATCTGCTCAGGACTATGTCCAGACAGCTTTTGAATCTCTCCAAGGTGGTAGATTCCACCACCTCTCTGGACAAACTGTTCCAGGATAAATAAGACAGCAGTAGCTCTTGGCTGACCTGCAGCCCAACTTTGCAGGGGAAGAATAAGCACTACAATGCCAATCCAGACTCAATTACTTCGCACTCAATTACTTTTCATGAAGCAGTGACACAAAAATGGAGTGCACATTCCAAGGATGCTCCAGTAGTCTTGTTAAGGGGGAGGGTGAAAGTTTTCTTCTCTGCAGAAGGGAACAGTTACTGACCATACTACAAAAACAGTTTGCTCTAGTTTTTTTATTTAACAGAATCAGCACAGGCTGGATTCTATTATATTCTCAAATACTTCCTCTCCATCCACCCTCAGTTTGCTTCACAGGACATGGATTTGTCCCTCCTAACAATTAGCTGTTGCTAAGTGGGTAAGAGGAATACATCCAATTTTTTTGGTAAAAAGATCAGAGAGGCTAAATGAATTTCAAGTACTGGAAAGTACTTTCAGTCATTCAGACAATTCTTGTCTAACAGAAACAAAAAACCAGCAATTTTGTAAATTTAAGCTGTTCAAATATTTGTAATTGTTGACTGGAACTTGTAAAATTATTGATAACAGGAAATAACTAATTTTACCTGTTTTCTTAAAGAGTCATTCATTTCCTTCAAGGTGTCAAATGATGACTTCAGCCTCCTATTTTCTTTAGTTATTTCTCTCAAGGCTTCTGTCAGCTGTTTAACTTCTGCCTCATGTTGCTACAGAAATACCAAATTTAAAACCATCATTTTCAAAAGACTATTTTAGAAACAATTCTAAGCTCAGTTGCATCTTGGTGTTAATAGGATAAACTTTCAAAGATCAAGTTTGCAATCCTGCATGGCCCAATGCACACATTCACCCAGTACTGAGAAAAACAACCACCATACTGTACATTAAGTGATTCTGTTTTGCAGTAACTTATGAGGTTTCAACTAGTTTTTCTGGCTTTGCTCACTCACAATCACACAGAGCAAGAAACTAATCCTACACTTTGTAGACTAGTGCTCTGGTTTACAGCACCAGTGTGGGACTTGTTAACTACAGCCTGCATACCCTGCTGCCATTCTTCTCTTTCCCCTGAATCTTCTTTTAGATTTAATCTTCTCTGGGCATAAGGGCACCTCTTTAAGCACCTCAGATTTGATAAAACAGCAAAGTTTAATTTTACTGAATATACTCCAGCTATACATACTTAGTATCTTCCATTTCTCCCCTTCCTCATTCAACTGCTCGTTCCCTACTTTTCCCTTTCACATCATACCTCTCTTCTGACATATGACACAAATAAAGCACAGTAGAAGTTTAAAGGATGCAAGCTCTGAAGAGATCCATCTCTATATATCTGCTTGGAAGCTCCATAACTTCTGTTCCAGCTATAGAGGAAAACCATCTGCCATTCTTTTCCTCCAGTGCTGCTCTTCTTCAGCCAAAGTCATCAGAAGAGCTGTGGGCACCATGTTCTTGTCTAAAGCACCCACCCACACTTGCCTAAGAAGACAGAATCCTTTAGGTGGGAAAAGACCTTTAAGATCATCAAGTCCAACTCATAACTGCAGCACTGCCAAGTCCACCACTAAACCATTTCCCTAAGCACCACATCTAGGCTTCTTCTAAAGGCCTCCAGGGATGGAGACTCAACCACTCCCCTGGGCAGCCTGTTCCAGTGCCTGACAACCCTCTTGGTGAAGTGGCTGCTTCCTCTAATCCTCTTGTCTGTAGGAAATGACAGATCCTCTTTTCATACCAATAAACATGCAGTTACTGCCAACATATAATGGAGTGCACCCCATCATATCACATGGAATGTTTCACTTCCACTTTCTACATGCACAGTTAAGAGCTTCACCTGAAGTTCCATAGCTCCTCTAGGAAGAATCAGTATAGAAAAATTAATCTAAAAATTAAGTAGAAGCAATTCAGTTGTTAAGTCATAGGCCAGTAGGTGATGCCAGGATGTCTAAGCCACCCACTTCCATACTCAGGTCAGGTGGTGCCATCCATAGCATAACCAGCTGTAGGATTTCACTCCTGCCAGATGTTTGCCTAGTCTGTTCTTAAGTCCTCCACCACTGGCAGCACTGCAGTCTTACCAATCCACCTGTTCCTATGCTTAGCTAGTTTTGTGAGATGTAACACTTAACCTCATTTTCCCTTACTACTACTACTACTTCCTATGCTTAGCTAGTTTTGTGAGATCTAACACTTAACCTTATTTTCCCTTACTGCTACTACTACTTCTATTACAGATATGAAAAAAAATATTAGTTTATTCCTCTTTGTTGCATCCCTTTATGCAGCTGAAGATTGGCACATTCACCCTCAGTTCATCCTGTATGTTTATAAGCCATGGGTCTACTCATCATTATCTATTTCTGTAGCTGATATTTCTATTCCAATGAAATCCTGTACTTCTGAATAGTATACTGGCTTTTCAGACCTACTATATCTTCAAGTTGTCATGAACAATTTTAATCCCAATGTTCTTTCTCAGCATGCTTGAAATTCCCCCTCACTTGCCATTTTCTTCAAATTTAATAAATGTGCTCTTTCTCACCATCAAACTTCTTACTGAAGATACTGAATGCTAGACTGAAAAGATATTCCAGAAGCCATCATGTGTATTCCTGCAATTTTACTGTGAACTACTCACTGCAGCTTTAAACACATTTGTATTACACTTTCTTAATATGATTATGAAAATGTCATGCAAAACTGTCTAAAAAAATTTCTGATGAAGTCCAGACACATAGCTAACTACTCCTCTGTTAGCAACACTCATTACCTTGCTCTAGTGGAAATGGGACTGATTGGACAATTTATAATTAACATATGCCAGTAGTTACTCATTGCACTGTTTTTCTGCATTGCACTTCCCATGGTTCACTCACAGTTTGTTTCAGGATCTATTTAATGTACAGAATTTGGATTAAATTGAATCAGGCTGTACAGTTCCTCCCCTTTTGAGAAGAAAGGCACATTTTTTCAGTCTTCCAATACTCCATTTGATCTCCACAGATAACCAATCATTTTCCCTACCCTGGTTTTCATCAGCCAGTTCTCTAACTGGTGAAACACTCTTATGAGCTCAGAAGATTTGAAACATCTAAATTAACACCTTAACTTATTCCTTCCTCAACTGTTCAAAAGTTGAGTTCCCTCTCCTGTGATGCCCTTTTTCCCTTTCCAACAGGTAGTCAGTCCTCTCTCAGCAGCTTGTGGGAAAGGTTTCTCTGCACAATTCAAAGAAAACTAATTCCTCAGCTTATGGTTTTGACACAAAGTACACATATATAAGGACTTCCCTTGGTGACCTTCTGGATAATAATCAAAACTTTTCACAAGACCTAAATGCAATAGCAAACACTCACAAGAACAGTTTTAATCACTACCTCTTCTTACAGCAGAGGAAAAATTCATTTCCTCCCACACTCCCAAAGTCAGGCTGATCTTTGCTTCCTTTGAATCTTTTGAGTGGTTTTTTTTTTGCCAATATCATCTGCAATAGCTGTTATGTTGTAAGATCTCATTGGGTCCTAAGGCCTTCCCAAGGAAATCTACTTCAACTCCAGATAATGCAAAGACACACATCTCAGTTACATGCAGTTCCAGAGAGATCACAATTTTTTCTCTAATACTGGTCGTCCAGTTTCTGCAATTTTACAGACAAGTTACTTTCACTTCTAAACTGTTACAGTATAATGTTCCTACACATCAAACTAAATTCACCATTCTGAAACAGAAGCCAGAAAAAAAAAAAGCTGACAATATTGTTTGGTACATTTTATATAAACTTTTCATTTGGGCATTTCAAGCACTTTAAAGAAATAAGCAGTACTATCTTAATGGCTTAAGATAACTACAAACAAGTTAAATGGCACACAGAGCAATAAACATCATTAAATATATTACTGCACCTCTTTTATAATTCCAATTTTTGTGTGAACTTCTTCCTCTACACCTCTAATTTTAGCCAAAGCTGCTTCATGTCTAAAGAGCAATGCTTCTCTCTCTGTTAGAAAATGCTCTCTTTTCTGGAGGTGCAGGGCATGCTCTTGCTGTGCTGAACTTTCTCTCTGCATCAAGGAAAAAAGAAATGTTGAAATGACTTTAAAATCCAGCAAATTGTCACAATTTATATGGATTTGGAATTTTCACTCCCAGAGATATGCTTGGCTCTTTGTAAAATGATAGTGTTTCACAAAAGTTTGCTAATTAAAAGCATCCTGATGGCCATCTACATTGTTTCCCCACACATGAACCCAAATGACTTCAAAGTGCATTGGGATGGCTCAGCCTCTCTACATGGTTGTTCCAAGTATATACCCAGACTATTAAACTTACCCTTTTGTTTGCAGAAGTTTTGGATGATGGTATTAAATATAAGACAAAACAGAGGCTGATGTGACTGTCTACACTGAACACTAGATAAATATATTGTTTCTTCAATTAGTGGCAAAAATCCTTGAAAAAGTGGTGAGAAAAAAAAAGGTACACTATTATTTTTAAGTATATGGTGCCAGAGAGAGTCCTGGCAGGGAATCCAGCAGAAGCATGGGAGCTATTCCAGAATAAAACCATATAGGAAGTTGGCCTGTTGGTGGTCTAGGCCTGCTAGGAGACAAACTGTTGGGATTCTCCAACAGCACAAAAGTAAAGACAAGGCAGAATGGAGCATTTGAGGCCATGAAGACAAGTACTCTTGAATGGCCAGGGTCAGGAGAACAGTTTCAGAGGCTCTCAGGAGAAGCAAGGGTTGCAGGTGTTGCCCTCTGTGCCCACTGTGGGTCACAAGAAGCTCTTGGATGTAGAAGCACTGTGTTCAAAATCCCCCAAGCTGAGTTTTGGCTGGTCTACTCATGGTGCAAATCAAAGCACCACCATCAAATCAGTGAAATAATTTAGGGGAAGAGGCAGATGCTGACAGAGTTTTAGTATATAAGTAATTGTGATTAGTATAAGCAATACTTTATATAAGTAAGTTTTAGTATTTAAGTAATAGTGATTTAGTATATGAGTAATTTCTGAATTCCCTGTCAAAAGTAAGAACTTCCATTAAATGACTCAATGAAATTTTTAAGCTGATTCCATTTCCTACCTGGAGCTTCTGATGTATGACAAATAATTCATCATAAATTTGCTTGATGTGAGGTGGTATTAAGCCTTGACAAGTGCATACTTGAGCACCAGTTCCACTCACAAATTTCCTTATCAAACCATTAGTAATATTTTGGTCATTATTTTCTTGTATGTTTGCAGCCAGATGGGATGCTTGGATGCTGTCTGTGGAAAGGAAAAAAATATTTTACATTAAAAAATTAGCCCTAGAGTTTTAGTATCTGTCAATGCAGCTAGCTACTTAAAAGAAACAAAAAAAAACCCAAAAGCCACCTTGTTTCTTCATTTACATGATAACATCATCAAGCAACCACTTGCATAAAAGATTGATTTTTCTTTTTAAAATTTATGCTACTACTGCATCAAGTATGTCTGGACCTCCTAAAATAATTCTGAAGGAATGACTTAGACTTCCATAAAAGGTTAAGTCCCCAAATTAAAATATGTTTTACTTGATTATTGTATTTCCAAACTGAACAGAAATAAGTTCACTATATTTTTAAAAAAATTACATGTTATACTTCACACAGAGTTGTAAAAATATTTCAAAAATTCAATATTTATTACCTGTTCCCTTGTATGTAGCTGGATTTTGAACTGAATCAGTTTCAGAGCATTTAATGGCCTTTTCTATGTCCAGATCACTTGCATCAGAAATAAAATCTTGCTCATCATCAAAGCTAAAATATACAAAGAAAGCAATAATCTTAAATTATTCAGTCCCCTTCTAACATGCTACATATAGAACACTGAGAGAAGTCTGTGTAGAAATGTAAACACTGCTCAAGGTAAGAATCTGATACTTGAATTATAACAGAGTTAAATCATTTGGATGGAAGGTGTTACTATTCATAAGATTTTAACCACAATGATTAGTGAAGTTGCTGTCTTAAAATCAGCAGCAATAACTAGAATTTTCCTGCTGTAAGCACATGTATGCAACAGGTAGAACCAACACTCTTTTCTCACCACTAACTGCCAAATTCAAGGAAAGTTAAAAATACAACCTCCCTTTTTAAATTATTTTTTCATATTTGGTGTAAAGTAGCCCTGAAAGGAGATTTCTTGGCTTTTGGAGCCAGCTTATCTCTAAATAAACTTAAAGCTGTTCATCTGTCTGAGCTATTTGCCTTCCTCTTAGTTCAGTTTATAACACCTGGTTTGGTTTTTATCACCCCTGTATCCCATTAGCAACTCCAACATACACAGATTAGATTGGAAAGTGAGTGAGACAACAGTCCTCATGAAAATCAACATTCACATCATTTCATACATTGCCCACAAACAGTTCTTTACTTAACAAGAAAACAAACAACTTAAGATGACTTCTGGATCTGTACAAATCCAAACATAATGTTTACTGATGGTTTATCTGGATGATGATAGATAATAGAAGATAAAGGAGAGATGAAGAGAAAACACTTCTTACCAACCCCAGTCTTTAAAGCTCTGTAAGAAATCACTAGAGATGCTGTTATCTCTTCCACTTTGGGTAAACTCTGACTCCAAAGAACATTTGGATAAAGAAATAGTTGTCTTTTCCAGTGAGCTGTCCATGTCACCTGAAGTATATAAAATAAAAAACAATTTTATTTTGCATTTGAGAACCTGACATTAAGAAATCCAATTAGAAATACTGGCTTAAGTTTAGGAACCCAAAAAAACACTGATGCAGCCTGACAAATGAATGAAAATTTGGACCAGCTTAAACTATAGGAAGAAGTATTTACTTTTCAAATCAGATTTGTACTTCCAAAGTTTCACTTTGCTTGCCTTCATGTACTAATTTTTCTGTAACTGAAGCCTGATAAATAGTTTTACTCTGCTGTCCATGTGCACCAGCAACGTGTTCCTCAGTAAGCCCAAAGACATTCTAAATATTAAACACATATTTATCTTTAAATTAAAGCCAAATGTATGCATTATGAGGTGGACTGCCACCAACTGCTCCAAACAGGACTCAAAACACAAACAGGTTGGGAACCATTGCTCTAAAGCATCCTTAGTGCCCTTTATGTGAACATTAGCATTCATAGGCTGGCTCCCAAAAATCACAACCCCCTAATCAAGGGTGTCTAACTATCTAAAATGAGAAAATACAAAACTGAATTTAGGAATTATACAGTTTTAGCACATTATTTTCCCTAGAAAAGACACCAAAGCACAGTTGTTTGGTATTACCTTTGTATACTAGAGAGCTCCTGTTCTTATATTCCTTATGTAATGCTCCTGAAAAGCAATCCTACAAGAAAGCACAAATCCACTGTAAAATAGTCAGGATTTTCAGGGAAAGTGTATGTTACAACTTATTTGTTTAACATAGTGCCTTGTGACAGAACTGGTACTACAACATACTGATTTTGAAAAGGGAATATTCTTTTCTCCAATATATAAATGTAAATGGACCTCATATTAATATAAAAAGGCACCTGTATTACCCACAGTCTAATAATGGAATATTCAGTGTTAGATGTTAAAATATTTGAAAAAACTATGAGGAGAGTAACATTAAATAAGGGCATAGAAGCAGGATTAGGTAAACAAGGGAACAGTGCCATCTATCTTTATAGCTAGGCTTTTCACACCAAAGTTTCCTGCTCTACCTTTTCCTACTAATTACTACATACCAAAAAAAAATGAATGACAGAAGTATTAGGCTACAAGCATGATCAATTAATGGTACATCAGAAAAGATCAGACTCAAAGCAGCTCTCGTGATCTTAATTGTTTCCACTGCATCTCTGCTATGCTTTAAATGACCCACTGCTCTATTTTCCTGTACTTAAATACCACTTTTTAATGAAATAACAAAATGCACAAACAAATCCAGCATTCCCTCCCTTGCAAGCATTACACTTCAAAGTGTCAGTGACAGTTTTTTTAAAGACAGCTTTGGAAAATTATTTTTCTTTGAAGAACTGTTCTATAACGCAAAGAAGAATATTGCCCAAGAAAAATACAGCACTTGGAGCACCACAAAATGCAAAAAAACCCCAAGCTGCAAATCCCTCTCTAGAATCTAAGGGCAGATAGAGTTCAAGAGCTAAAGCCTTCTTGTATCTGCGATGGTTCCTGACTCTAAAATGGCAAGTCACATTTCCTCAGAAAAAACAAGGCTGGTTTCTGCATTCACTTGATGATTCTCAGGACCAACTCAATCTCCCAAACCATGTGTCTAGCTCAAATCCATCTTTAATCTCTCCCAATCTTTGGCTGCTCACAGATATCTTTACAACATATGATTTCCCTTGCAGCATGAGTTTGAACATTTAAGGTCTGTTATCCCACGGGCACCCTGGAAGTGTTTGACCCATGGAATACAGACAGAAGAAGGGAACTGCAGAAATCTGTCTCAGTGACAGACTTAAGATCAAATAAAGGTAAATGCTTAGCCAGTGAGTATTCCTTCTACAAAGTGTCAGAGACTTGATGCACCAGCATATGGGAGGGGGCTTTGCTGCTGGATTTTTAGGCAGATCAGTTTCCTAATCCATTGGGCAGACCCATAAATGTTCACATCAGCACAAGGGATGGAATCAGAGGACTCACAATCCAGTTTATTCACAGCACTGCAAGGAACCTGGCATCCTCAGGTGCAAAATAACATTGTTTTACCTCAGCAAGGGAACGATAACCATCATAATTTACTGTCTGGTTGTTGTAGCAGTCTCTTATGAACTATGGGTTTGATTCTTCTCTCAGTCACTAGATGTGGAACAATTTTCTGTCCCCCAAAAGACAAGTTAATCACTAGGCTCTGTATAAAATCACAAGCACTCCTAACACGTTCTAAATAAGGTGAGCAAATGCTGTGGCAAAAGAAGATGTGAAAGACATGAGTTATCCTGTTTTACACATGCCTTGTATAGTACTTGTAAGAAGATTCCCATATTTCCTTCCCCAGCTGGCAGGCAACAGGAAGATGAGGCGAAAACAAAGTGCCAAGCTCTCAGACTGTGTTTTGGTAACAAGGAAAATCTGGAATTGCAATGTCCAGGGACACGTCAAGTCCAGACAAGGATGAGTGCTTAGCACTTCCACCGTGACAAGACGAGAGCAGAGGGCCAGGGACAGAACGCGCTTCACACACGAGCTCCCCAAGGCTGTTTAAAACCCATTTTTAGCCCTCCGTGCCAGTGAGCCCCAGGGGAGGAGAGAGAGATCCCCGTCCCGAGCACCTCAGGAGCTAGGCGAAGGGGAACGGCTTTCCTCCTCCTCCTCCTCCCGCACCGCCCACCCCCGGCCCTC